CATAGAATAGTTCGGGTTGGAAAGGACATTAAGATCATCCAGTTCCAACCCCCCTGCCATGGGCAGGGACACCTCACACTAAACCATTTCACCCAAGGCCTCGTCCAACCTGGCCTTGAACCCTGCCAGGGATGGAGCATTCACAACCTCCCTGGGCAACCCATTCCAGTGCCTCACCAAGCTGTGAGTAACAGGAAAAGCTGTTGGAGAGCAGGAATGTGGAGACAAAGCACACAAGGACAGTCTGGAGGCAATTTCATAGCTTTACAGGTGCTGAAGCCGTGATCAGTGCTGTGGCAAAGGGGCTCAGGACCATCCCCTTCCTTTGGAATGTGAGGTAATTGTGGGAGCTGGGCAAGGGCACAAGAAGCCAGGGCCAGTGTAGGGAACAGTGTCCAGTGACTTCTGACACCCTCAAGCTGCCTCCTATGAAAGGTGATTTTTACCAATCCTCCTTCACAGAAAAGTTTTGCAATGACTGAGTAGTAGGAAAAAAAAAAAAAAAGGCTTCCTTTTAAAGCCAAAGTAATGCTTCATTTGCTGTCAGTTCCTCTTCTTAGCTCAATCCTTGAAACAACTGTAGGGTAAGTGCTAAAAATACCCCTTCCCTTTCCCTCTGTTGGGGAGGGAGGAGGGCAGGAGGGGATTCCCAGCCTAGGTAAAGGCTTCCCTTCCCCAGCCTGCCCAAGCCACCATGGGGAGAAAGTGCAGCCGTGCTGATGGAGCTTCATCTGCGGGTGCTGAGCAGAGGGAAAAGCAAGGGGAGGAGGCGAGGAGCAGGGAGGAACGCTGGAAAACTTCACCCCCAGACTGTCTGAGTGGTGCTGGCTGCCCTGGGGACACAGCCAAGAGGGGAAAGCTCAAGGGGGAGCTCACAGCAGGGCAAGGAGACCTACTGCCTCTGCACATAGAGCTTGCTCCGATGACTAAGCTGATTATTGAAGGAACATCAAATAGTTGTCCTGGGTGGCCGAAGTTTCATATCCCTCATTACGGGGTCTTGGACAGGGGCCAAAGAAACCCCCCATAAATGGTTTGCTACCCCCATAAGCACACAGGGATCCTTCCGCACGTACCATCCCAGCTTGCAACAGCTTGTAGCTTCCTTTTGTATAAGGTCCTTCCAGGGGTTCCCCTGCCATCAGAGTGCCCTGTGTCCCCTCAAGCCCCTGGTGACCTCAGTGCTCCCCCACCCCACGCTCACCTACCTCATGAGGAGCCACATCCTTTTGCCTGGGAAGCCGAGACGGCGCCGGGTCGCGGTGACGCAGGTGGTGGTGGCACGCTGTCATGTGGCACCAACGTCTCTCCGAGGAGGCAGGGTGTGCTCCCTGGGCAGCTCCCACCATGTCCCAGAGGTTGTGGATGAGATTCCTGCTGCAGGCAGGTGCCTGGGAGCATCCCATCCCCTCCGGAGGTGGGGGATGCTGGTGTGGGTCACCCCTGGTACCTTTGCCCTGCAGCAAAGGGTTGCTTTCCTTAGTGAAACCATCCTCTTTCCTCTTTCTGATGTAGTGGTGGAGTCAGTGACCTCACCACGGGATGGATACTGAGAAGCAGCCTGGGGGTGGTGGGGACCTGCAAGCACTTGCTCCTGTCAGCTGATCTTCTCCAGAACTACTTACACATGATGCTGCCTTCGAGCTTCACTACAGCCATCCAGTGCCCCACAGCTGGGACCAGGGACCATGGGTCTGCTTGGGGGTTTGAGCTGTAAAGAGACAGATGGTGATGCTTCATGTGCTGCTGGCAGCCCTGACAGTGTCCAACGGCAGGCAGCACACCCTGTCTCCAGTGTCCCCAGGCAGCAGGGCTGGGAGACCCAGCTGCAGAACATGTGTTCACATCTGCACCCCTACCCCCCATCAGCCTGGGACAGCCCAGGCAAGCGGTGCTGCAGAAGGCAATACAGGACTTTGTACAGCACGGGAGATGCTGGGAGCTGCCTTCCCCATCTGGCCCCTGCCAGTCTCCTTTGGCTGAAGGCCTGTGGTGCTGGAGGGCTGGTGGCAGGTCCCAGCCTGGCCAGAGCCCCACCAGAGAGGAAGAAAGTGTCATGAATAACATGCCTGACCTCACTAACTGGGCTAGCAATAGTTGCCAGGGGAGTTTTGTTGAGTCACGTAGCAGAGGCTGTGACAGTGAGTGATAATGGATAGCAGCGGTGGCTCAGCCCTACAAATAGGAAGGATGTAGGGGGTATGTCCCAGAGGTGACACATTGGGACAAGCCACTGCCATCAGCCTCCTGTCCCATCTCAAAGCTGCAGAGCAACTGCTGCCTTAGCCAGGAGCACGTAAAAGGCACCCTGCTGTGGGGAGCCAAGCTGTGGTTAAAAGGACAGTGGTTTATGAGATCAGCCACATTTGGGAACATGTATTGCAGCCATATCAGCAAAAAACAAATGAAACACTACTTTGAGGAGCTGTTCTGCTGTGTCTGTGCATGGAATTGGACTTACCTGAGCTCTTTGGTTGGTGAAACCGAGGGCAGGCGCTGCTGGGCAGAAGGAGGGAAACAGCATTCTCTGCTACAGTGGTTTCATGCCCTGCAACAACACAAGCACATTATCTTGCATTATCTTTTAAGAGAGTTGGGTGGTTTTAGGCTATCCTGTGCTCCTTCTAAACACAGAGGGTGAGAAGTGCTCTCCTTGCTTGAGGAGCGATACCTACCAACTAGGAACCCGGAAATCCTTCAACTCCTGAAGCAGATGAAGCTCCAGCTCTCATCTCCATGGAAAGAAAGGGGAAAAGGAAAAAGAGTGCCCTTGAACTGAAGCTAGTTGCAGACAAGGTAATTTCCACATGAGTTAGCAGAACAGCTGGTTGGAAATTTTTGATAAAATCTGTTTTTTTTCTGTGAAAATGCAGATCCAAATGAAATGTGGAGGCTTTCCACTGGAAAGAATGAGTTTGGCTGGATTTCTCAACTAGTCTTCACTAGAAAATTTGTAAACGGTCACAATATTTTAACCACCACTGATGGTTTTTTTTCAGACCAGAATTTATAGCCCTACTGCCTTACAGCTGTACATGACAATGCATCATTTTTGGCATCATCTCTTCATTTGTTTGAACTTCAATATTCTACAGATCTTTTGCCCCCATTTTAGATCAAGAAAAAGCTCAAGCTGCCAAGACATCCCCAGGATAAGGAAACCATTTCCTGTAAACCATGGGAAGCTCAGCCTGAGGAGCAGTGCTGAACACAAGACATACCCCCTGTACCACCAGCCAGGTCTCCCTTGACCACATGGGTAACTTGTGATGGTTTCTGGTGATGCAAATGCAGGGGCAGGGTCTAGGCCAGCCTGGTCACATCCCGTTGTCCGTCTGCCAGCACAAGCCATGGGTGCTCACCCTGTGCCCTGCTCCTGGCCAAGCTGGAAGCATGCCGCTGGGAGAAGGGGACATTGCCCTTGGAGCTGACATAGATTCACTTCTTGCAGTACTTGCGAGATCACGAACTGGAATCGTGTTTTTCTTTGAGTTGGGAAAGCACATGGACATCAATAAAGATAACAACCCAACATGCCATTTCCTTGGCTCAGTTCCTGTACCTTCGCAACCCTTCTTTGGCCTTGGGGGTTGTCCAGGTTTTCTTGTCAAAAGGAGCTTACCTCCCCTTCCCTTGCACTCTAGCAGCCTCCCTGTCCCTTAGCAAGGCCAGCGTCAATCTTCCACCTCTTTCCATAAACTTAATGTATCTCTGGGAGCCTTCCCTGCAGGGTAAAACCAGTACCAGGATACTTTCTCCTATTTTTAGTATGTGCTTTAGCAGATGCTCTAAAACCTGGAGAAAACTTTAGGCACCAGCAGCCCGCTGTTCCTTCATGGGTCAACCATCAGCTGCTGCTGGTCTGCAGGGACGCAGCACAGCCTTGTGTCAACAGCACTGGATAAACACGGCTCTGGAGTGATTGGGAAGCCCAGGGCAGTGCCTAGCACAGAACTGAGCACCCAGCATGTCCCCGAACACCCATCTCTGTGTGACTGCAAGGCTCCAAGTCTCCGTAAGCCTTAATGCAAGGAGGATGCTGGTGGAAGCTGGTGAAGCAGCAGCACAAAGGGCAGGACACCCTATGATGACATGCATGGAAAGTACAGCCTGGCAGGGGGTTTAAATGAGGAACAGACCACACAAAATGTACCAGAAACACCCACCGAAGGCAACCAGCATTTTGGGCTCTGGCCAGGCAGCCCCAGAGAGTGTCCCTGTAATGTCCCCAAGCGCCTGGGCTGGGGAAGGGGGCTGGCACAGATTTAGGGACTGGCCGAAGCTGCGCTGAACTCACTTGGTGGCCACGCAGGAAAGCCTGCCCAATTTAGAGGTCCCTTCAGGGTGGTGACATGCAGTACCAGGCTCCCCTGGGATGCTCCGGGCACTTGCCATGATGAGGCACTAGATCAAAGGGAAACTGAGGTAGTGATAGAAATATGGTGCCATCAAAAGCACTGGGAGTCCATTGGGAGCTGAATACCCATCAAAGGCCAGGAAGCTGCAGCCCCAGCAGCAATATGGGCAGCATAAGTTTTACAGCAAAAATGCCCTTTGCTTCATAGTAAAACCATGATAAGCTTGAAAGAAAAAAAAAAAGAAGTAATTGGGATTTTAAGTGACTTTCAAGCCCTTTTGCACTCTCAGCCTCTCACCTGAGAGGTATATGGAGAAGTAGGTGGCCTTGGCCAGCTGGGGACTTTCAAGGTGGAACAAAAGAGATGTGAAACATAAAAGCTTCCACTGCAGCCTTACTTTTATCCCTCCACAGAGGTGGCCCCAGCCACTGAGGTGCTGCTGTCATGGGGGGTGCAGCACCACTCCGCTCTGGGATGCTGCACATTCACACCTGGGACACACAGCCAGCCACTGTGTGTGGACCGGGAACATCACCATGACAACAGTCATCCCACATCACTGGTACAGCTCACTTAGCACCTTCTCCTGCCACCCTCCCTAGCTGGGGTCCTAGCCACCCCCTCCTCCCCACCATTAAATACTATCAATATGTGGATGAGATGCTTAGAGGGTGCCAGATGCACCAAGGACCATGGCTCTGCCAGCGCTTACCGCTGTGATTGGGACTGAGCTGCCACTGCTGGCTCGGGAGTCCAGTCACTGAGGATGGGCACATCCTGCACCCCCCTTGAAGAGCCAGTGCCCCAGCATCAACCCCAGGACTGGTTTTCTCTCCTCACTACCTCAATGGGTGAGGACAGGGCAGATTTCCTTCTGGCACCCACAGCAGTGCCTGGGGTAATATTAAGCCCTGCCAATGCCACAGCACTGTTCAAGTGACAGCCAAAGGCACAAGAGAGATGTGTAGGATCCTGCAGAAACCCCCTTCACACACTGGCATGTGGACCCACCACTACACCATTCCCTACCACTGCCCATTCTTCACAGCTGGGCTGGGGAATGCTTTTGGGAGCAGGAGCAAGTATTTAGCCAAGCTATTTAAACCTACTTAAAAGCCAAATAGTGACTGCTGGGAGAGCTGTAAAAGACTCAGGTGGCACCAATGGGGACAATTCGGTTTCCACAAGCAGAGTGTGCTGGGTTCGGAGCGGGCAGATGAAACCAACCAGCTCAGGCTCTGGTTTCTTGTCATGGATGATGACAGTGTAGGATGTCAGGGCAGAAAACTCACCCACAATTGCTTGTAGTGTGTTTTATTTCCTGCAGGGAACAGAGCAGGTGGGGGTACCTTCCTTCCCAAGGAGAGGTGGCCCAGAAACTACCTCTGCTCAGCACCAATCACACTCCCTTTATTTGGTTTACAAAACCGGGGAGGGAACGAGACCTAAAATACAATAATGTTATTACTATTATCAATAACAATTAGAGTTCTGACCCACTGCAACGGTTCCTGCTCCTCAGGGCTGGGCTACACTTTGGTGACACTGTCTGCTGGCTTTGCCTCGCCTGGCTCCTCTCGTTTGGGATGCTGGGGGCAGACCCCCATGCTGTTGCTCTGGAGTCCTACAAACCCTGGTGACTTCTGCCCTTTCTTCATAAGGCAGCAAGCCCCGCAGCTGAGAAAGAAAAGGCTCATCAGGACCACGAGCAGAGCCAGCGAGCCCATGTCCTTGGGGTGTGGACAAAGCCACCGAGGGCTGCTGGCTATCTTGGCTGAGAAGTTCCTGCTCTCATCCTGGTAGGTGCAGAGGGCTTCATCCTGGTCCAGCACACCCACCCCAGCAGCCCACAGTGTGTCCAGCCAGGCCAGTGAGCAGCAGCTGAAGGGGTTTCCAGCGATGGACATGTCCTTCAGGCTGCGGGACCAGCTCATGAGCGCCGGCTTTTCCAACATCAGCAGCCGGTTATTGCGAACGTCCAGGCTTTCCAGCGGGGAGCAGAAAAGACCTGCGGGCAAAAGGCTCAGGTTGTTGCCTGAGAGATCCAAGACTTTGAGCTTGCCCAGGCAGGGGAGCTCTGCTTTGCCGTTGTCCATCTGGTTGTCCCTGAGAGAGAGTTTCTGCAGGGAGAGCTCCAACCCTGCCAGGGCCTCCTTAGGCATGAACAAGTCCTTGTTCCCCGACAGGTCTAGGGAGAGTAGTGAGGTCTGGTTGAAGGCATAGGGCTGCAGCCTGGTGATGTTGTTCCTATAAAGACTCAGATGCTTCAAGCGAGGCAGGTTGTAGAAGGGGGTGCAGGTGCCTCCTGCATTCCCCCCCTGGCTCTCACAAGGCTGGAGGCTGTTGAAGCCCAGGTTGATTGTTTCTAGCTGAGGCAGAGAACCAAAGAACCAGGGTGGCAGCATGCGGAAGGCATTGCCATGGAGGTCCAGCGAGCGCACAGACAGGGCAACGTGCTCCAGTGGTGCTGGTGAGTGGTCACTGGGATCCATGCTGCTGGTGAGTAACTCTCCGGCCACATCCTGGAGACAGTTCATAGCCAGGCTTAGGTGATGCAGAGAGCCTAGGCTGTGGAAGAAGGTAAATGGGAAGAGCTGCAGCTGGTTATAGCTGAGATCCAAGTCAGCCACATGGGTCAGAGCAGACACAGTGTGCAAGGTCCTGTTAAACCTCGCCATCTCCTTGTAGTGCAGTACAAACTCCCCCGGGTGGCGTGAGCCTGGGATCAGGGAAGCAATAAGGTTGTTGGAGAGGTTTAAGTGTGTGAGATAATGGACTTTGGGGAGCTCTGGAAAGTAGAGCAGTCTGTTATGGCTCAAGTCGAGCACTTGAAGCAGGTAGGGCTCCGCTGCCTCCTCCGAGGCGAACAGCTCCAGGGCGTTGTGGCTGAGATTTAAAACTCGCAGCTGCGTGAGGCTGAAGCCAGAGATACAGTAGAGGGAATTCAAAGCCAAGTTCACCACCTCCAGCTCTTCCAGAGCCTCAAAGACTCCCTCCTCTATTTCCATGATGTAGTTATTGCTGAGGTGGAGCTCACGCAGCCGTGGCGTGCTCCAGAAGATCCCCGCCTGCAGCCTGGTCATCTTGTTCCTGGAGAGGTCCAGCACCCTCAGCCTGGTGAGGTTGCGGATGTACCAGCCTGCCATGTGGCTGTCCAGGTTGTTTGCCGACAGGTCCAGAACCTCCATATTCCTGAGCAGACGAAAGGCTCGTCCATTGGCGAGGTAATTGCGGTCGAGGTGGTTTGATCCCAGGAGCAGAGAGCGCAGCTGGGGCAGCTGAGCCAGGGCTGTGGCTGACACGGCTTCCAGCTGGTTGAAGCCCAGGTCCAGGTACTCGAGCTGCTCAAACCCCGGCATGGAGCTGCCTGACAGGTTTTGGATGAAGTTGTTGGAGAGCTCAAGGTACTTCACCCCTTGGCCAAGCTCCTTTGGAAGCTTGTGCAAGCCAACTCCTTTGCAAGACACCTTTGTGGGGCTCTAGAGAGAGACAGGAGAAGCCGTCAGTGTGAGAGGGTCTGCAAACCACAGCCCCAGCCAAGCCAGCTGCTGGTCAAGATGGGCATAAGCAACACAGACATGAGCACAGCTCCCTTTCCCAAGCCTAGGATGGGAAGGGAACAGACCCCTAAAGCTGCTGCTTAGAGACAAGAAGCTTGTCCCCAGGCTAAGGCGTGTTTTCACTGCTGAATTGTTCCTGAGTGCAAGAAGGAGCATCAGCCTCGGCCCTGCAGGCTGTCCTCTCATGCATCCCAGCAAGCGAGATGGGCAGAATCATAGCATAAACACACAAGATGCATCAGGTTGGTGGGGCAAACCCAGCCTCTGGAGGGCACTGGGGTAGCCCAGGGACTAGTCCAGAGCATCCCTGCCCTGTCTGGGCAGAGGAGGAACTGACACCCCCATGGCAGGGACTGCTGGAAGGTGCCACCGGCATGGGAGGGACATGGGAACAGCTGGGGGCCAGGAACCAGCTCAGAGACAGGAGAGCAGAGAAGAACTCAAAGATAGGAAGGTTTGAGATGGAGGCTGGAGGGAGGTGAGAGCCATAGGGAGGAGATGCACCCTGCACTGCACAGAGGGATGCTTCCAGCCCTGCTTGGATCCCGCAGTGCTGCTGGGGCCATCCCAGCCCAGGGGCTCCTTGGAAAGCTGCCTTACCTGCTGGCACAGTGCGGGTCTGAGCCTCACCTCCCCGCTAGACTGGGCTCTGAGAACGAATGGGAGCAACCAGAGCAGCAAGCATCCTCTTTCAGCCAGCCGGTGCTCAAACAAGAGCATGTTGGGCTGCGGGCACTGCCAGCCCTGTCCCACTCCTCCAGTGCTCTCTGGCGGGCTGGGCAGGAGCCAGGCTCTGTATAAATAGGTTTCAGGATGGGACGGGGGAAGGAGATAATGCATGTGGGTGTTTGTAGCTACGGAAGTGGGAAAAGAAAGACATAAGATTGCAGAGGGGGAAAAACAGTGCAGAAAGCCACAAGGAAGGGAAAGAGAAACATCAGGAGAGGAGGAGGCAGGGCTGCTCTGGTGCTCAGGTTGTCGGCTGGTCCAGCCACCGATATCAAATGCCAGGAGGCAGAGGTGGTACTTGGGACAGCTGAGAGCATTTGGGGGAGTTCTGCTGCATGGACCTGGTTCTTCCTCCAGCTTCCTCTGCCCTATGCCAGGGCAAGCTGTGCTTTGTACCCGCTATCCCAGGGCAGCTGGTGAGACCTTCCCAACCATCCCAAGCTGGGAACCAAGCTCCAGGCTGCAGCCACCGGGGATCACCATGGGAATCCCAGCACCTTGGGCTGCAGGTGAGCTCATTGCAGGGAGGCAGAGCAGGTTCCTCTCCCTGCGCTGCCGAGGGGACTCTCCTGCAGCATCCTGGGGTTTACCACCTGTCCCCAGCAGGATGTATAACCCTGGCACCCCCCTTCCTCCTCCTCTTCCTCCCCAGGAGTCCGCTCTGCTGCAAGAGCCGGGCTCCTCACTGCCACACGCCCACGTTCCTCTGGTCATAGAGGATGGCTGCTGGGTCATCTCTCCCAGGCCAGGAACCAGATGGGGACTTTCTCCGCGGCAGCTTCAGGTGGTGTCTGGGCTCCCAGAGGGATTGCACAGGGATTTTTCTGTGGTGACATCTCCATGTCCCTGTGCCACCTGGTGCTGACATGCTCCCTGGGGACATGCTCTGCACACGGTTCATGCAGGATTTTGGCTCACTGTGGCCAATTTCCTTCCCATCCGAATGAGCATCCCCAGGTTGCTGTATGGTTGCCCAAGGATGTGTTTTGCTGTAGTTTCAGCTGTAGAGCTGTTGCTTTAGTCCTAGATGTATCTGGCAGGGGAAAAAAATATTATATATATGTAAAATATATATGTACACACTTACATGTACGTATACACCTGGAGAATGAAGCAGCCTGGCTTCTGCTGCTGCTGCCCCTCGCCCTCATCACAGCTGATGTGGTGGGGAGCACTCTGTCACCTCCAGGATGTGGTTCAGCCTTGAGCGAGGCCAACGTCACCAGCCAGCCCGAGCACACACGGCAGTGACAGCGGCTGAGCTCAGCCCAGAGGCCAGGGCTGGTGGTTTAGGGTGATGCTGTGGTGGGCCTGGGCTCTGACAGCAGCCAGGGCCAGGGGCAGCTCTGAGCAAACAGCCCACTGCTGTGTCTGCAAGCGCGGTGAGGACAGCACATCTGTGCAGATGTGGAATGCGCAGGCTCTGGATGGGGAATCACTGACCTCTGGATGAACCTTTGCCTCCAGCGTCCCTCGTCTCCTAACAGCAGCCAAGCACGGAGCCCCAGAAGCAGAGGGTGATGCAGGGGAGGAACCACACCATGCAAATGGTGCAGCCCCCAGTGCCTGGAGAGCCCTGGCCCCCTGAACTGCTGGGCATGGCTCTGCACTGTGGGCACGCTGCTTGAAATGAGCTGAAAAGTCCCTACTTTTGAACAGGGACTTCTGTGGAGAATCCCTGGGCATTGGCATCCCAAGGCTGTGAACTCCCTTTGCAGGAGCACCCGGCAGAGTGAGCCGGCTACGGACCTAGAGCCATCTCAGGCACCCTGCAAATGCCAAGAGGCTTTTCACGGACCATGCTGAAGGCAGAGCCAATCACACAGCACAAATGGGAGGGATTTGCTCCTGCAAATCACAGGGCATCCCGTGCTTCTTGCCTGTCCTGGCACCCAGGCTGGCTCCTAGCTCTCCAGAGTGGTCTGTTAGAGATTGATGCTCCTGCTCCCCCACCAGGCTTTCACATCAGAGGTCAGCAAAGGACGGACGAAGAAGCAGCAGGACAGAGGCTTGGTGAAAGAAGGGATAAAGACATTTGCCAAACATCACCAGCTGCACTGTGGGGTGACAGATGCTCGCTCCCAGCCTGGGCATTATAAAGGCAGAAGGGTATCAGGTTATTTAGGTACATCATCTATACTTCTTTCCCAGTAAGTCATGACAGCAATGATGTTTCCCCTAACTCCGTAGAGCAGCAGGGAGCCGGGAAGGCAAATGCTGAGCAGACAGCAGGGAACCACTGCCTCTCGTGTCAGCAGCGATGGCCACAACAGCTGCACATCAAATACTCCCCAAAGGATGGAGATGCTTTGCCTTTCGGCTGTGCCCCATTGCACAAGCGCAGCCAACACACTTCGCTGTAGTTGTACAGCCCTTCCAGAGAAACTCCTGGGGTTTGGCTGGGGAAGGACGCTCCAGTGAGTACACAGAGATCAGGAAAAAGCTTTATTTGCAAAGAAAATATTGACAATTTACATAAACTTACATCCTAATTTATATACATTATGTATATTTTATATACAGATAGTGTCTTGAATAAAGATGTCGAAGCACAAAACAGCATCAGTACATCACTGTGCAGCTCTAATAGGTAAGAGAAGAGTTGTGTCTCTCTGCCCGCAACTCCTCCCCATTATGCTTTTGTTGGGGAGTCTGAGACATGATGAACATGGGGTTGGGGGGGGGCTCAGGCTTGTGACTGGGGGCAGCTACCATCATCCCTTCTGCTGTCCCCCAAAGCCTGCACCAGGACACCCTGGGGCCAGTGCCACCAGCCTGCAGCAAGAGGGAAGGACTCCCTGCACTCTACCAACTACTGGAAAGAGGGGAAGAAACACGGATCAGCAGATGCACTGTGTGTGCTCATCTCCCTCCCAGCACAGCTTGGGTGCTCTTTTCTAAGCACCCAATGTCGCTCATTCAGTGGAATGACAGTGCCAAGTCTCCCAATGGGGACAATGGGTGGCAGGGAGACCACAACTGCTTACCTGCATGAGAAAGGCGCTGGAGGGAAGCAGGGCCAGTTTTGGGTAGGGAGCGACGACCTAAAGCCTTTACTGAAGGGAATCATCTTTTCAAAAGGGGCCCTGAACACAACAGCCTCCCTAGGAATTGTCTCTGTAGAGACGAGCTTGGGAGAGAGAAGGGTTTCAGATCTGTTAATACCAGTTAGCTGCTCGCCACATTTCTGCAGCTGGAATCCAGCCGAAAGCTGGGCAGCAGAGCCAAGGCACGTAGGTAAGAGCAGAGGCACTGGAGAGGAAGGCTGGCACACGGGAAGCCAGTGGTGACTGGTTTTGTGTGCACCATCTCAAATACGCAGATGTTTGTCTATAGATGAATTGCTTCCTTCCCTGCCACACTAGGAGCTGAGACACATCAGAATTCAAATGCATCAGATGGAAAGACTGAAGAGCAAGGCCCTGTTCTTGCTGGAGTTTGTTAGAACCTACTGTAACCATCCTCCTCACGCTCTCCTGAGGAGCCAAGCTGGTTCCAGGCCTGTTGGGCTCCAGTTAAGAGGAAAAGGCACCAAAGATGGTGGGGCACCATCTAGAGAAGCATCATACAGAAGAATCAACACTACAGCCTACGTAACCTGCACTGTAATACTTCATTAATGAGAACTTGTTGCTAAAGAAGCCAAAGGGTTTCAAGCACAAGGACTCTCCATGGCTGCTACGGGACCGGTGATCTGCCCGCTCATCCCAGAGATGGATGTCTCTTGGTACCACGGCCACCTGCAGGCAGGTATTCTCTGCTCTCCAACACCATCTCCAACTCGGCTACACTGAGCTCACGCTTTGGTGCACCATGAGCACAAGAAAAAGCCTGTTAACACCTTCCATGGAAGGAACCCTTCAGCTCCTCTCCCTCATCCCAGGAACATGCCAGTGAAGAAACTTGACAGCGATGCATGGGGCCTTTAGAGAGAGAAAAGATTCTCCCTCTGCCTCCTCCTGCCCGCAGGCATAGTCAGGAGCAAATCAGAGATCCTGCCAGTGGGGGACAAGGAATGCAAAGTCCATCCATTGAGCTTTCCTAAGTCACTGTGTTATTTAAGCTTGCCCCTAAGACTTGCTGTTCAGGCTGTATTCTACAGCAATTCTGTTAACGATTTGCTTAATGTTCTCACTATACACAGTTGTCCCAATTCATCCTTGTCAGAGAAACATGTCCTTCTTAATCCATTTTAAAGGAAATAAACCACAAAGACTGGTTAAGTGAAGTGCCCCGAAGGCCCTTGCTAGTCCAACATGTTGAGGCTAGAAAGGAGAACATACTGAAAAAGAAATAGCAGGCCATTTTTCATGCAGTTATTTTACAAACTGCACGCCTCCTGTGAATAGCGAGGCTGTAGCCAAAGCTGGGTGCCCCCAAGAAATAGTTATCTCCCAATGACTGCAATACTTGGCAAGTGAGATCACTCGCTATGGACAGGGAAAAGCGAACAGAGCCAAGAATGCTTCAGTCAGGGTGGACCCTCTGTGGTTAGATCAGAGGCTACAGCACAGTGCTGAGACACGACTGCTCTCATGTCCCTCCAGGTGACCACGGCTGAGCCACCTCTGCTCGGAGATGGAGGATGTCCGTTTGGGACTCATCCCGTTTGCTGCATAGGCTGAAACTGCACTACCATCTTCAGTTTTTGAAGAAAAAAAACATGCTCTGAAATGAAATCCAGTTAAAAAAAACCCACCCAACACAACCAAGCACAAGCCAAGGCATGACACAAAAGAACAATTAGCGCTTCAGCCTCTTCCTCAGCTCAAACACATCTTATAGCTTTAGGTCTCCCCAGTTGAGGGGAGGTAACGGGAGAGAGTTGCTCAAGAAGCCAAAAGAAACAATAGTGTCCCAGCACTTCTATTAGTCACCAGAAATCGAGTTATGACTAGACTCAGCAGGGCTCAGAGAAGAGAAAAAGTGGTGACTTCATGCTGGACCAGACTTTTTAAATGCTGCTTTTTTTTTTGGTTTGCTAGAGACTCCACCACCACTTATTAGAGCATTTTAGGTAGAAGGGTGCCAAAAGGAAAGGGGGGGTGGGAGGAAGGACAAAAACCACATCTGAAAGCAGGACAGTTGCTATAAAAACAGAAAAAAAAATTTCCTGTTTGAATATTTTATTCTTAAACATGACAAACTTCTTCAGAGTGTTTTCACAAGTACTTATGTCTACGTGGCTCAGTGAAGCCTGTAGAAATGTGTTCTGGTTTGCAAAATATTCATTAAAAACACCCCCAAAAATCCCCCAAACCAAAACCCCAACAAAACACAAATTGCTGTAACAGCAGCAGTACTTTAAGGCAGCCCCTGTTAGGGCAAGGTATACCTCTGGGGTAATGGCAGGAGCTGAAAGTAGCAGAGGCGCTGGAACTGGTCATCAGCATTTTCTTTGGGGCTTGGTGATTTCTGGAATGTGGAGGCAGTTTCCTATCTGCTAAGCCTGCTCTATTAAGTATTCCTCTTCCTCTCACACTTACTTCTTTTTGCAGCCTGCTTCCAAGTTCTAGGCAGAGGCACTTCGCCTTCTTTGCTCACACTCCTGAGGATGAATGTAAACACCACTGACCCTCTCTTATTCACCTCCCTTTGCACCCTGTGGCCATTCCAGTCTGAACTGGGAAGGCAGAAAACCAGAAATCCCCTTTCCTTCTTTCATTAGCATGCAGAAGCAGGAGTGCCTGGATAGGACAATTTGGACATTAGTCTGTCTTCTCCCGCTACCGCCTGGGATGCTCTTGCTAGTGCAACATAAAAGCAGAGACCCATACAACCCTCAACAAGCCTCGTGTGAAGATCACAGAGCAGAGTATCAGTGCAGTAATACTTGAAATACTGAGACAAGGCAGACACAACAGCCTTTCTTTCTCACAATGCTTTTTGATCCAAGTCTCCATGCAAGTCACAGAAGACAATTGTGCTTCCTGCATTCACATACAGGAATAAATAGCTCTGGATCAGTTTTCTTTATGGCCGGATTACAGAACCCCCTGAAATACTGATACGCTTATGAACAGCAGCACTGTGCAGTTCTGTGAGTATCCTTGGACATGCCAAGTTCATCTAGGATGCTGGTGCATCTCCTAGGCGTATGGCCCCAAAGAAAGTTGTGTGCTTGCTCATGTTGATGGAGATGTCAGCATGGACCATTTTCACAGCAATCTTCTGCCTGGCTTTGAGGAGGCAGACCCCAGCTGTATAGCAGGTATTGAAGTTGGTCTTGCCGGTCTCAATACTCCGAGTGCATTGCAGAAAGGGCTTTTCATCCACCACCACCTCATAGCTGGCAAAATCTGTGAAGTTTATGTAGTATACCTGATGTGAAGCAGGAAGAAGAAAGGTGTTAGGGGGTTATTTGTGCACACAGAACAAGTCCATGTTCCTTTCATGGGTAAATGTATGTTCCCTCCGCTAACGATTCTTTCCTTGGCCCCAAGACACCTATACTCATGGGAGATTGACTTGTTTGAGGTAGAAAGAACCCCAAGCCAACCAAACATGAGGAAACTCTGTATTCCACTTCATGCTAACACCAGCATGCAAGAACCTGTGAATCCATGTATCTAAGGCTGAACTATGAACACTCGCTTTAGACCCTGCTTATTACAGGAAAAATTAGAAACCTTCACAGGCCTAGTTACAAACATGTATGGACAACCCTATCTGCTACAAACAGCTTCTCATCCAACAAATAGGAATATTTTAACTGAAGTCCTCTTGCACTTACCTGGCCAGTCCTGCTTTCTGGGTCCCATGAGCCTCCTTTAGTGTTGACATCAAAAATGCCCTAAGACGTACTGAGGGTTGCCTTCTTTGTAATTGGACTTGAGGTGCTTTCAAAGGCATAAGCTACTACAGGGAAGACACCCTCCCAACCTCCACAGCTTGGAAGCAAGTGCCCTTGTAGTGTTTCTACTGCTTTAATTCTTAGACCTAGTGCCTAAGTCCCTGTGACTCCATTAGTCGTTACTTAACCATCTCCCACACACTGATTCTGAAGAACTGTGAGATGCATGAGAAAGACCTGTCCAAAGAATTCAGTCCCAGGGAGCTGCTTCTTCCTGATAGAAGAAAACCAGCATCTGCCAGATGCATCTGCCAATTCTTTTTAGCTTAAACCCTGAAACCTCAGAAGCTACACAAGACTGCTTTTGCCTTGGTGGACTACAAGGGAAGCACAACATTGTGGCCAACAATTAGCATTAAGCTAATTTTGCTCAGGAAACAATTATACTTTGGCCCTGTACTAACATAGAGTTAGTTTTCCTGTCCCCATCCAAGCTAGACACGTAACCACTTCCATGGAAGAGCACCTAAACTGACACCCACAGTCCACCTTATCAGACTTGGCACAGTCCCCAGTGGGGCTGCCAACTGAACAGAGGCAAATCATGAGCAGGAGGTAGTATTAGAAGCCTGGAGCAAGGTGGAAGCTGTTTAATTGTGGTTGTTACACAGAAACCCTCTTGTCTTGCTAAAATCAGTCCCAGAAACTAGACATGTTTTTCAGCCTACAGCGGGGTGGACACCCTGCATTTCTGGAAGGGAGGAGCTCATACTGAACACCACTCAATAATTCTGTTGAGAGATTTGCAAGACCCTGGGAGCAGTGTGTTACATGACAGTCCATCTCCTGCAGTTTACTTGAATGGGGAGAGGAAATTATGTCTTAATTAGCTGATTTCTACATCATAATGCAATAATTTATTACTTTGTTTAGCCCTTCTTACAGAAGCAAGTCAGTACATCCGTCGTTGGTACCAACTAAAGCAGAGCTGAGCCATCCCACCGCACAATGTGGTGCATCGTGTCAGTCTGCAGCTACACAAAGTAGGTGGAGGCAAAACGGAGTTACCTGAGCTGGGGTTTGGCCAAGCCACCTGGGCTGAGAGTCCTATGCTTACAAAGAGTGACGTGGTTTCAAAATGATCATGAGTAGCCAGGGTTTTGGTCTGACATCTCTTTTAAAGCACAGAGCCTAGCATCCTGCTGGGACCCTTGTTCTGCAGGGAGGTTTAGATGGGCTGGTGAATGCCTGCACAGGCAACATGGAAGACTGAAAAAAGGCACTGGTGGCATGTGGGGACTGGCTGGGTGTTTCCCGTGTTTTGGGAGCTGATCTCTTGTGGCTGGTGTCACGGTGAAAGGTGTGACCTTGCACTTCGAAACTTAACGTCTTTCTCCAACACACATCCCCTAGAGCACGAAGCGGTTAAAAGTACATACAAGTTCTTGGCATTTGCTAGTTGTCTGGAGCCCTCTCGTGGTTCATGCAAGGCTTCCATTGGAACACAAAAATAGGAGTTAGGCCTAGGACCGTACTCACTTCTACCTGACTATAGATGAAGTATGTGCCGTCCACCAGTACCTCCAGCTCCCCACTGCGTGCATGCAGCTTAAACACCTTGGGATTCATAGTGATGCGAGACCAGTCATTGAGGACTCCACCTGAAAGATCTCAGTATGAGAAAATGGCAGTCACTCAGTACCTGTCAATGAAAAGCGCAGGAGCACAGAAATACAGTGACATTGCAAGGTTTCATACAAAACAGCTGCCACAGACTCAAGTTGAAAAGTCAAGTCAGACGGTAAGAAAATCCCAGAATTAAAGACCATGATGTGTTAGTTTGGACTCCCCTCCATAGCTCTAATGGCATCATCACTTGCTGACACCCATTTTGCTCAGTGCCAGCACAACTGGTTTACATCTCTTCATGTCCTTGCCAACAGTGGTTCTCCTCATCCTTTAAAATTCAGCATATAGCCTTTTGTGCTACACTGCGTTCATCCCCTTGCCTCCTCCTGACACTAAGTCAAGCTTATTACCCTATTTGAGTGTTTTACAGGCCTGAAAACATGTTCTCAGTATCATCCCCACTCTAGAGCAAAGACACTCCAGCACATTCAAATCAATCCTGCCACTGTAAGGCTGCTTGCTAAGATTTTTTAATGTGCCTGAGAGGACAGGGGCTGATTCTTCACACTATTTTTGCATGTTCAGCCCCTGATCCCAAATGACTTATGGCAGCTGTGATTATAACAGCACTTCTCCAGGTGCCTCCTGAAAAGCGTCTGTTCATAGCCCTTGTAAAAGCTTTGGTACTGGTGACTTCCCTGATATCATGGAAGAAACTGTGCAGCAGAGGCAGGACCAGGATCCAGTTCTCCAAGAAAGACCCTCCACTGGCATCACCCACCCTTGCTACCATTAAATCTCTTCCTCTACTTCCCATCTCATTTATCCCCCTTCCCACATCTCTCTTCCCAGCTTCCACACTAAATAAAGCAGAGCTGCAGCAGAGTGTGCTGAAAACCACAGCAACAGATATGTCCTTGAGGACTGCAGCAAGGCTAGAATGACAACAGTGATTCCTCATAGGAGTGGGACTATATGTGGACAATCTCTCAGTGCTGCTGGCCTGGAAGATGTTCTCAGCAGAAGTGTCATGACACAGCCTTCACCCTCACTCTATGCCTTGAGTTCATCCCTAGAAGCAAATTAGTCCTTAAAGCAAAAGAGGCAATAGTGTTATGGGGAAAACTGTGTGCAACTATGGGAATGCACTATCTCTCAGGACACATCTGTGCATGGAGGCCAACTTAGGGTTACACAATTGATTTTAATTCTGGTATTCCTTGACTTCAATATTCTTGACTTTGTAACTAGCATTACTTTAACAAATGCTTTGTCATTACATTTGCTAGGTTTTTAAAAGCCAAAACAACACCAAAGTACAAAATCACATCATCTCACAGCACAATGACCCTCAACTGGGGTCCTCACTCAACATGGTCAGGGATTTACTGACCCATCACCCAGTCCTCTGGCACTGGAGCAGATGGACTAACTCACAACGTGAGTAGGCCTCTGTTCTCTGGACAAGCCAACAAGCAGAGGCAGAGGACACACTCCACCATGAGCCCTGAACAGAGCCATTCTCTCTAGATGCCTTGTTTCATCAAATGCAACTCTCTTCCTCCCAGTCTTCATCTGGTTTTCGCTCCCTGCCCCCAGTCACACACCAGCCAGGCTGTCAGCTGGACAGCATTAATGGCTCACAGCATCAGATTGTTCCCAAGCAGCAGGGAAGGACACTCACAGGGCAATTCCCACTCTTAGAGAGTAACATACTCTGTAAACATACTGGCTTCTCATTAATAAAGGGATAATTACTTTTTGAACATAAGCAAACCAGCATCTTTTCCATTGTATTGTTCTTGGGAATGGTCAGTTTCCTTTTTGTTTTGCAGAGCTTTTCTCCACCCCGCTGTATGCATACTTCCATAACCATGAGAAATTTCAGCTCTCTCAGCAAATGTCTGCTGAAAGAGAGAAACTGCCTTTCAACAGAAGCAGTGTCCAGCCCTCCTCATCCCATGCATGGGGCAGAAGTTGGCAGACAGGGGCTGGGTTCTTCAGTCCTGTCTCTGCTGCCCTGACCCTTGTGAGCTGCAGCCCTCCAGGTCTGGCATGGAGGTACATGCCCCAGGGCTGCTGGCCACATTCCCTGGGGAGCTGCACATGGTGACTTAGGCAGGGGACAACACAGCCAGCTCCTCTCCCGCACAGCCAGACATCGTGAGCAGGGAAGCAGCAGCTAATGAATGAGACCCAGCTGTTGGCAAGAAGAACAGGAACTCGAGCAGAAATTGGACAGGGATCTGGGAAGGAAAGAGGAGAGAAAGGAGGTGCCTGTGGATGTGAACTGGCTTGGCAGGACTTGAGCTTAAAAGCTTAAAACATTGTTGGTGGGAGTAGAGATGCACAAGGGGCCATGGAGGCTGCATGTGTGTGTGCTTGAAGCGTAATGCAGGAGGAGCCAGTGTCCATGCACCTCTATCTCCTCACACTACAGCCATGCTCTCCCCTGCCATAAATTACTGGGAACACGTGAGAACACAGGCTGATGGGGCTAAGACAAGAAAAGGATACACTGAGGGCTTTAAATAGAAGAGAGTGAGAAAGAAGGCTGGCCATTGAGGGGCTGAGGAAAACTAATGATATGACAGCAGGCTGAAGGAGGCACAACATCGGACTGGAGGTCAAGGAGAAGGGAGATTCAATGGGACAGAATTACTGGGATGTACAAGGTAGAGGTCACCTGGGAGGTGAACAGGAGAGCAGGTGAAACGGGGATGGAGACTCAACAGAAGACTTCTCTAAGAGGGTCTGGGAATCAGATTGTCTCCTGGGGAGGCCAACAGCAGGGATAATCAGGGAGTGGTGTTGCAGGATGGATTTAGACCCAGGTATGAGGCTACGGGTGCAGGATGGGCTCTTTTCAGTATCTGCCAATATCATGAGATCCTTACCATTCTTCACTTGGATTGCTGAGCCTTGGCCTTGGAGGTGGACCACAGCTGGCTGCAAACAAGAGCACAGGGATTTAAAATCAATAGGATACTGCATCATGTTACAGTCATACAACACACCTCCACAGCCCTGGTGACCAGTACAGAGGCAGGATAGTACCTTGAGATCATCCATGCTTTTCATAAATGAAAACAAAAGCTCAGAGCAGCTGACAACAACACGTTTAAGTACTGGAGAAGAGGCAAGAAGCCCAAGACAGATGAACATGGCTTCCTTTTGACCAATGAAATGGATGAGCTCAGTCACTTTGTGTAACTCTGATTTGGCACACAAAAATCCAGCCAAAGCAGAGTTTTCCCCTGGAAAGAAGATAAACCCACCTGGATGTCTCTGGAGCCGGCTTTGTCTGTGGCACCTGCAAAGTACAGTTACACATTATTTAAGAGGAAGCTTGAAAGCTGCAGTAAACACTCCTATAAATAAACTTCTCCCAAAACAACCATGAAACCACCATTTTTAACAGGAGGACAACAGTACCAGTGGTATGGGGTGCAGCTTAATGTTAAGAAGTACATAAACAAGAAAGAGTCATCTTACTTTTTCCTATTTATTCCTGCATTTCTGTCTAACATCATCAAAATTCCCCACTATTCAACCAGTTTCCACTAGAAGGAAAAATTGCACAACCCTTTTCCTGATCAGCAGTGGCAATAAAGCCTCTTGGCTGCAAAGATTACAAGTTTCACTCTGCAGTAACTCAGGTCATTCACTGCATTCAAGCTACATGCTGAAATATCTTTCCTCCGAAAGCCAAATCTCTATTAAAGAGAAGATGCTTGTGGGCAGCACTCTGGAGCGCTAAGGACCTCATGCTGCTCCTGGCTTCTGATTTGACAGTTCTAAGATATAAACTGAGAAGTCAACCAGGCTTTCCCTTGAGAGCCATGTGAGCTATAGGGTAATAGTCTCGATTTCTTTGAAGTAACATTTCTTTAATACTAGACTGTTACATATATATACATATAACATACATATAACAAACAATGTGAAACCGATGTGAACTTCTACTGATCTGCATTTTAAAGAGCTATTAAATTTAGGGAATTTAACGAAATATTTGGCACATGACTCCTTGGAGGAACAGTATGGTGCAGATACAAAGAAACAAAGAAAAAAGAAACCAAGAACTGCAGGAAAAAAACCCCATATTTTCATCTGGCTGGTATGGGAGTCAAGCTTCCTCAGTTTGTGCGGCTCCAGAGCTGGCTGAATGGCTTTGCATTACCTTAACAGGATTCCCGCTGGGAAGAGCCACCTTGCAGCCAGGACACGGATCACCAGCAGACTTCAGTAGGATGCTTAAAAGCATCTGAGGCTCCACAGGTCTTCGCTGCTCCTTCTCTGCATCCTCACCCAACAGGCACCCCGTGCCCATGGCATCACACCCTAAACCCCTGCTGCCAGGCTCTCACGGTGCTGCCTGTGGGGCTCCTCTCATTTCCCCAAGGACAAGCCCAGGAACACCCGAGTCCTACACAAGGACACTGCACCATCACATGCAGGCACTCTGCTGTCCTCAGATGGAAACCCGGAGCTCTGAGTTATTTGTACAGCACTGGCACCTCCTGCATGCAAGCAGCGTGTGAAGGCTCTGACTGGTAAAGGGGATGAGTCCCTTACCTGAGGGGCCCTGCAGCCCAGGTGGTCCCTGAGGGCCTGGTGGCCCAGGGGGGCCGGGTGGTCCCATGACGGTTGTGCCGGGAATCCCAGGGATGCCGGGAATGCCAGGGGGACCCTGGGGCCCAGGAGGACCTGGTGGCCCTTGGGGACCATTTGGCCCTGGAGGACCAGCCTTCTTACCTGAAAAACAGAAGAGTAAATGTTAGCTTCTCAGCATGCCAAGGTAGGATGGCCTTTTACCCACAAGAAAGCCCCAAGAACAAGGCAGGCAGAAGACTGGGGATGGATCATTGGTGACCGGAGGGCAGGGACAAAGAGCAGCACCCGACTGGCTCTGCACCATGAGGACAATGCTGCCAGCAGGGCAGAAGCAGGTCACCACTTTGCAGGCTCCTTCCAATGGATATAACTACATTTAAACAAGGCACATGCACCCTCCAAGGCCTCCCAAGTGATGGAGACCCAGATGGTCTCTGCCCCAAAGCTCTGGCTGCAGTCGTTCCCTGGGTATCCTACTCTTGGCACAGGGCTGGGGGGGTCCTCAGGCAAGGTTTGGACAGTCCCTTTAGACCAAGTGCGTGCCACAGTGCAGCACGGTGAGAGGTGGAGTGTTGAAAGTGGAGGTGAACCACTGCAGTTTCTCAGTTTTCTGTTCATTTTGATGGCAAACAGTTGCAAACTTTTCTACCTGCTGCATTAGTGTACAAGCCCCATGGCTTGGTCTCCTGTCTGAGGGAGAGAGGTGCCTCCAGAGGGCAGTTCAGAGCTGAACTTCAGCGACTGAGTGCTCAGGGTGTTGCAGGAGGCATCCCCACACTGCCTGGGGCCGAAGAGGCACATCTCTATGGTGGGAGGCACTTAACGTGTAGGAAGTTGATGCTACTATGCCTCAAGATCATCAAATGTGCATTCTGGGCTTTGGATGGAGAGGTAAGGGAAGCACTAACCCAACGAGGAGGATGAAAGCACTGACAAATCGCCACAATCCTCAAACACATCTCACCACTCGGTCCCAGAGGAGGAAACAGCACAACCATGTAAGTGAAGACTCTTAATCCAACTTTCAAACCACATAGTGGACTGAAATAAGGTTTGAATGGAAGGCCTGACCTGTGCTCTCCAGATGTTCCAGATCCCTGATAGAAATTATGTTATTTTGATGTAGCTTTTAAAATGCAACTATAACAGCTTTTATGCCAAATAGATTTATTAACTTAGGAAAATTGCTCCAATTGCTGCAACAAAGTCCATTGCATGACAGAATGAAACACTTTTTTTTGATGACAGCAGCAGTTAGGATATGAAATAATGATTACTGGAATGGTTTCTGAGTACACTGATGTACTTGTTTCTCTCCTAAATATTCATTTTTGTCATGGAATAAAACAAGGAAAACCCCATGTATTTTAGTTAGCACAGAAGTGGAGATCTCCAGATGAACATTAGCCATGAACAAGGACACATGAAAATCAGCATAGGACAACCATATGGTTTAGTTTCACTGTGCAAAGAACTAAGTTAAAGTAAGCACAATTAAAGTAATGTGGTATCCTCCAAGGATGGGTTTCTTACCTGCAACAAATCATTTGCAGCAGTATTTCTGCCCAGGTTAGTAGCTGTGCCTTCAAACCTGGGCTGGCAACAAGCTAGCTTTCCTCTAATCCAGCGACTCTCCTCCTCCTTGGGATAACAACACACTTTGGAAACTATCACCTTGAATCAAACCCCTTACCTTTTCCCCTAAAGCACACTTGCTAAATTCTTCTCATTCACATCCCCTCGGATATAGGCCATTGCCATGAAGGATTAGCATGCAGCACAACAGGAATCCTGCTGCAGTCACTCCCTGCTTTCCTTCCCAAGAGGGATGCACATTACAACTGGTTTAACTGATCTGTCTCAGAAAATGGGATCTACTAAATGGGCTGCTAGTTTAGTAGTTAAAACAACAGTTTCTAACTGTGGCCTGTCTCAACCTTTCAACTGTGTATTTGGAGTTTGTATCCAAAGATTAAAAGTGATCTGATGAGCTATTAAATTACCACAGACATGCAAAGCTCAGCTGCTCTTCCTGCCACAGGTCATGGTGGTGGGCTGGACCAGGAAGGTCTCCTGAGGGATGCAACAAAGCGTTGACCACCTAATGCTCCTGTAATCACATATACATTAGGTGCAATAGGCAGTAAGCAGTGAGTTGACATGGCACATGTCAACTATGCTTTGCTGTACAGGCTTGGCCCTGAGCATGCAATGCATGTCGATGCCTGTGTGAGCCCCTCCATGGATTAGGCTTCAGGAGCAGCACAGCCTCAAGCCGCGCACAGCTTCTACACTTCTCACAACCGACAACCCATTGTGATCACACACCAAGTACAGATGGTGACAAGGAGCAGAAAGGGGTGATCTGACTGTGCTTCCCTGGAATCAAGACTGCAGCATATTTGTGCTTACAAAGCAGCTCAGATCCTCTGACTCAGTCAAGGTCCTGGTAGCAAGTAAGTGTATGACCAAAAGCATTCCCCAGGAGTCCTACACAAACAAGGATGGCATCAGACAGCCCATGGAAATACGGGTGTGCGTCCTGAGCAGATTAAGTCACAACAAGTCATTGCTAAGCATTTTAAAAAATACCCAACTACATTGCAAACAGCTTGAGAAATGTAAGGAAGTCAAGACAAAATCTCTGTGGGCTGACCAACACTCAGAACAGACACATAAAATAATACTTGTGAGGTTAATACACAACCAGAAGTAAGATGCAGAGGTTATCTATGCTGACTTTGATGGGTCTGAAGGAGACCCCAACTTGGAGCAAGATGCATGGCAGGATAAGGATGAAAGCTAAAGGTGTTTCATTAAAGACATCCTGGCAAACAGCAAGTGGCTCCTGACAGCTGGTATCTTCAACATTACTTCAACACAAGGTAACTGATTCCTGTTAGTTTTTAAAGAAGGCTTTAACGAGCCCTGTGCTCCGGTTGTACAGCCCTGCCACGGCAATGTGGGTGCACAAAAGCAGCTCATGGTCTGTGTTGTGTGATCATGCAGCACGTTACTCCCTATCCTTCCTGCAGAGGGAACCTGCTGTTGGTTTCTCCTTTGCGTTGGCTAAAGAGGAATCACAGCCGGGTAATACAGGCACAGAAAGGAAAATTGAATCAAAACTCAGACTTACCCTTTTTCTTGTTTTTCACTGAACTTGGACCTACAAAGAACAAAAAAAACACAACAAACCCTAGTGAAATTCAGTGATCATTTCATCTTAGAAGATCCCCCCGCCATCAACACCCACTGATCCAGAGGGTGTTTCTCCAGAGCTGGAACAAAATTCACAACAAAATCAGTAAGCCAAAGATGTAGTCTCTTGTTTTCTACAAACCATTGCTGTGGAGGTATGATTATTTTACTGGCGCCCAGATCTTTACTCTCTCTCACATTAGCAACCCAAGGCTGGTATAATGCAAGTGAGTGAGTTTTGGTGGGCACCTCTTCCCTGTATCGCAAAGATGAGTTAAACCACGTGCCTGTGGCTGACAGCAAAGCTCTGATGACAGATGCTTTTCAGCCGTAAGCCAGAGCTTTACTCTCAGATACCAACTTAGTTCTGGCTCTGCTGAACACTGCTCAGAGTTTTGCCCAGAGATTTGCTGTATGTATCCCCCTGATGCTGCTGGTAGAAGCACAGCACATCAAACCTTCACACTGCAGAAATCCTGAGACTTAGCAGAAACCATTCAAAAATACAGTCCCTAAATAGCAGATGATTCTTCAAGTGGACAATGGATGCATCTGTGGTCTGTGCAGCCATACACAAATTGTCTCTCTTGGCTTGAAATCACAAAGCTTAAGATTTAAAGCTGACACGCTTCCCGATGAGGGCAGGTTAGAAGAAAGTTAGCATAACACAGCTCTCAGCTTAGAGCAGTAACCCAAATACTTGTGAGCCAAGTTGTTTAAAGATAATAAAATACTTGTAACAACAAAAGCAAAGGATTAGCATGAACTGGGTTTTTAAAACTATGAGAATACAAGCCTCCCTAGCAAGAAATGAAAATATTTATAGTGAAGCTGAAAAACTACATTACTTTTTGAGCAGAAGCTGAAGTGTGAAACACATCCCATTGCTTCCTCAAAAATTAATTATGGATGGGAATGAACTGCAAAAATCCCCAAATATTCCCTTGCTGTTCATCAGTGAAATCCCTCTAAAACCTGGGTTTAAACACACATCGAAGATGGAAATCACCTTTAACTGAGACAGATTTGCAATGAATGGAAGGTAAGAGGTTGCTTCAAGTTTGCACTGGTAAAGAAAGACAAATTACCAGTTAATACAGAAATACCATGTTCCGTGGCTAGTTAGAGGAAGAGAAGGACCAGAGAAATACCCAGCAACCTTACCAATGCCTCAACGGGAAGATTAATTAATTAATTGTAATTCATTAATACATTTAATTAATTAATTAATGCCTACATTCTGCTGTTGGGTCATGGGAAAAATACCACAGAATCACGAGTGTTGGAAGGGACCTCTGGAGACCATCCTGTCCAGCACGTGGCCAAGGCAGGGCCACCCAGAGCAGGTTACACATGTCCAGGCAGGTCTGCAATGTCTCCAGAGAGGGAGACTCCACAACGCTCCTGGGTGCCTCTGCCACTCTCAACATCAAAAGTTCTTCTTCATGTTGAGGTGAAACTTCTTGTGTTTTAGTTTATGGCCATTGCTCCTTGCCCTGTCATTGGGCATCACTGAAAAGAGTCTGGCACCATCCTCCTAGCACTCACCTTTGAGATATTCATATGCATGAATGAGATCCCCTCTCAGTCTTCTTTTCCCTAGACTAACCAGGCACAGCTCTTGCAGCCTCTCACCAGACATGCTCCAGACCCCTGAGCATCCTTGTGGCCTCTGCTGGACCCTCTTCCACTTGCTCCTTGTCTTCCTTGTACTGAGGAGCCCAGAACTGGATACAGCTCCTAGATGTGGCCTTGCCAGGGCTGAGTAGAGGAGGACGATAACCTCCCTTGACTGCTGGCCACGCTCCTCCCAGTGCACTGCAGGACACTCATCCCTCCTGGCTGCCAGGGCACACTGCCGCCTCATGCTTAGCTCATCATCCACCAATACTCCCAGGTCCTTCTCAGCTGAACTGCTCTCTAGCAGGTCAGTCCCCAGCCTGTGCTGGTACTTGGGGTTCTTCCTCCTCAAGGGCAGTACCCTACATCTGTCCTTCATTAGGTTTATCTCTGCCCAGTTCTCCAGCCTATCAAGGTCCTGCTTAATGGCAGCACAGCTTCAGGTGTATCAGCCACTGCCCCTTGCTTCATATCATCAGCAAACTTGCCGAGGGAACACTCTAGCCCTTCATCCAGGTCACTGATAAACAAGTTGAATAAGACCAGACCCACTACTGATCCCTGGGGAGCATCACTGACTACAGGCAGTAATCAACTGGATTCTACTCCACTGATCACAACCCTCTGAATTCTGACATTCAGCCAATTTTTGATCCACCCCACCATCCATTCTAACCCATGCTTCCTAAGCTTATCTATGAGGATGTCATGGGAGACAGTGCCTCCCTTCCATTAGATGGTATTATTCAATTTATTATTTCTGTTAATTTGCTTTTTTCTTTTACTAATCTACATCTTCACAGTACCAAACACACAGCAAGGACACCACACAGGTTTATAACAATGCCAGTCCCAGTATCTTGCTAAGGAGCAGTACTGAAGCCAACCAGCAGATCCAGCACCAGCAGATGAGCTGCAAACCCTTTCATGTTTGGCAAACACCGACAGGCTCCTCTTGCAGTTTCTGAGCTTCTGTGCTGCCGAATGAGCCACCATCACCCCAGTGATCTCCTGGCCCTCATCTCAGGCACCAGCCAGTTGATAACGTTCTCAGTGAAGAGGAAAAAAACTGTCTGGGGCATGTAATTTAAAAAAGCCCAACCCAGCAAGTAAAATGCAAGTGCTGTGTATGTGTTTCTTCAGACCTCGGAGTCACGAGAGTTTATTTCATGTTATATATATCACACCATTAGCGCTATAACCAGAGTGAAAGTACAAATAGCTGTGGCGAGCCAAACACATTTGAAATGGATGGAACCAATTAGCTTCAAAGATGAATGGGAGGAATGAGAACCACATGCGATGTCAATGTTCACAGTCTATATTACAACACACGCATCTGTTCCAGGCACGGCAGAGAGAGATGTTACGGCTGTGCAAGTGAATCTTTCGACAAACACAAAAATACTTCTGACATGAAAAAAACACAGTATTATTAGCCTTGGGAGCTTCTGAGTCTCTGGGGTTTGCATCTGTTCGTCTCCCAATAGGAGGGGGGTTGATAATTTGATTGTAGCAGGGAGCAATAAGGTTCATCCAAAACACCAGAATACTGAATTTTCCTCATTTTTGCTCCAAACAGCAAACTCATCAGCTCTTCTTCAATTTAGTCTAAAACGGTAACAAAGTCTCCTACTGAGTTTGAGAGGCAGAGTGCCACCAAAATATGAGATCTATATTCCCCTCAGTACAAAAGGTGCTGAGGCGTAAGGCTTGAAAACTTTACTTCATGAGTGCTGTCCCAACAGCTGTGTGCAGAGGAGAAAACAAACAAAAATCCTTTCTGTCGTGCTTTTCTGAGGCCACCCCCCCAATATTTAAGCAATAAAGCTTGTTAAACGCTGCAGTGGTTGAATACATCTGACCCATTGGTTATCTGGTATTGGTGGAGCAGGTTAAATACCTACACGTTAATCAAGCGTGAATCTTTCCTACATCTTCTACACTGTAAATCCCACCTTGCCATCCCATTCCTGCGGAGAAGCTCCCGGTCTTAAAGGCTTCTACAAAATTCAGGTTTATTTAGTGCAGTTTCACAGAGGCCATTAGATGATGTGATACCAAGGAAGTTCTATGAGAATACATGCTTTTTCCTGCTCCAAGATGCAGATCATAGACAGATGCACCATGTTCCTTTGCAGTATCAAAAGTCTTATAGAAAAAGAAGTTACAGGATACCTACTGCTGGTACAGAGCCCACAGGACCTGCCATCTTCATGTAGGAGGAAATTGGTTTGACTTGAATATTTCTCCACTGATCAAGGTTGCCTGCTCCAGCTCTCATCACTGCTTCCAGGGGCTTCACTGCAGTGCATTTGAGGGTTTATTCCAGTCCCAAGGGGATCTGACAGCAGCCCAACCAGTCAGCTCTTCCCCAGCACCTCTTTTCCCTTCTTTACAAAAATAACCTCAAGTTTGCTTTTCTGGACTTTTCCTGCATCACCTCTGTTCCTTGTGATTTCCTTTAAGTCTCTGTTATGAATGTACTAAAGATCAAGGTCTTGGTCTTGACTGCTGGTATTAAACATGACAGCTACCCAAGCACAGCTATTTTTCTCCATATGTGCCTGTGCTTGCCTTTTGTGCTTTTTTCTACTAATCCCACCTATTTCCCACCTCCTTTCCACATGCTGTCTGCTCATGTCTGAGGTCAAAGCAGACCCCAGACCTAGGGAAGTCCATCCCCTTTTACATTTCCTGGCTTTCATCTGAAATTAAATTTATGCTTACGCTCTAATCCCTCCTTGAAGAAGCTGTCAGCTCTATTCAATCCTTCATTTTAACTTAGCTTTGCAGAGGAAGGAAAGTTGACAAGAACTGTTAATACAGAAGAGGACTGGGAGATGAGAGAGGACAGGCTGAATGGCTTTGAGGGATAATAAGCATGGAATGAGATTCAGTCATACAAAATGCATAGTCCTATAAATTATATATACATAGGGTATAATCAACTTTTCTGCTGGATGGTGGAGCTCCTCAGATGGAGCTGCAGAGGACAACTTCTGCAGGTGGTGAGTTGCAGGAAAGGCAGAAATACAACCCTAAAATGGATCAGTGGAAATACCTCTGGCAGGCATGGGGCAATACAGATGCCTCTCAGTAGATAGCGGTGAAAAACTTGGGAATAATGTCCTGATCATCTACATTCAGAAAGATGTATCTACAATTTCACAGGAGGACTTCTGGGAAGGTCAAGAAGAGCTCACCTGATTGACCATCAGTGCTAAGAAAAGGATGAGAGCACCACTGGGAAGGAAGCTCCAAGCAATGCCAGGTCACTTCCAGCAGAAGCACTATGGCCATGGGTTTTAGCAATGAGCCAGTCTGGATGCAAGCTTCTCACTTAAG